TATATATATATATAGTGAATATTTTAATGTTTAAAACACCTGCTGAGGGAGGTTGCAGTAGGTTATACGAGCAGACATTTATAATTTTATTATAATAAAAGTTTACAATATTCTAAAAAATGTTGGTCACATATGGAAAGCTGAACACATAATTCCTTATAACATTTTGTTAAATCAAAGTCTTAATCACACAGTTTCCCTGATTTTCCGTTTCGGTAATACTGTCAACGTTTTTAGTGATAACTATTAAAAAGTATAGGATAAGTAATATTTTTTAAGGCTCACCTAGTCTGCTTTTATTTATGTATAATACACTAAAACGGTAATATTGAGAAATATTACTACAAACTGTTTTCTGTTTTAATATTGTAAATAAAATATTTAAAATCGTATTTATTCATGATTAAAGCTGAATTTTCAGCAGCCATTACTCCAGTCTTCAGTGTCCCATCATTCTAATATGCTGTTTTGGTGCTCAGTAAATAATTCTTAGTAATAAAATAATAGCTGTGCTGCTTAATATATTTGTGGAAACTGTGATAAAAATTTTTAAGCATTCTTTGATGAATAGAAATTTAAAAAGAACAGCATTTATTTGAAATAAATAGCCATTGGAATGGACTTTCTCTATCCCATTGTGGCTGTTTGCATAATCCCAACCAGAACTCATTTCTGTTTTAACCAATCCTTAGAGGCAACGATGAGTGGTGACTGTACCTACTGCTGTTATTCATTTGTCCCTCTCTTTCCTCCTCTCCTCCCTTTCTTCAGGTAAACTCTTGGAAATGAAGTCTACCTGGTCCCCTGGACCCATCTCCCACACACAGGCCTCTTTATCTCATGAGTTATGGAAGGTTTCCCCAGGGACACGTAACTCCAGTGCTCCCTCACGCCCCCCTCCAGGCCTGACCAACACCAAGCCCTCCTCCACCTGGGGAGGAAACTCTCTTGGCCTCAGCCAGGGCTGGACCAGCTCTTACTCCTCAGGTAAATCCTCAGTGCACCTGTGTGGTACAAAGCAGCAAAACCAGTTACTCACAAGGTTCTGCTGTAGTGTGGCCGACCAATCAGACTTCCCTCTGTCTGTCTCAAGTTGTGTGTTTAGAGTTGCAAATGGGCAGAAGTCAAGAATTTAGTGGAAAATATGCTCAGCTGCAACGTTTTTCCAAACCTGTCTCTCGTTATTTTTTGTTATAGAAGGGGGAACTTGGAGCACTGACAGTCCCAACAGAGGAAGCAGCTGGCTGGTACTGAGAAACCTCACTCCTCAGGTGCATAGAGCAAACAATTTATATTACTGTGAAAACTAGTATGATTTATTCAGATTCATATCGCATGAGAGTACAGAAATGTACAGGTATGTCACTTTTTATGTAACAAAGGTGTTGAGTTTTTTATGTAGCATTATGCACTATACTTTTTTAGTTGCACTCTGCTGATTTTTTATTTGTTTCAATGTAAAGGTTTTTTAAAACATCTTCTATAAAAACATTTTTTTTTTACTGCTGCAATATGTCTCGCTCACACATGAGTACAAAAAGAAGTTTTGACATACAGAGAACCTCATGAATATAAATTTCAAAACACTGGGCCAATCAGAAGAAGCCATAGGCAGACTTGTTTACAGTAGCATCTATGCATCTTTTTCAGCATTAAAATAGGAGGTAGGTAGTTATACACACTTAAAAATCAAGTTCCTACACTTCAAAAACAGTCCAGTCATAGGATATCAAAGATATTTTTTTGAGCTGATTTTAGAACACGTTGTTTTTATTTGTCATTCACCTCCTAGCAACGAGACAGATTTCTTTGTGTTCAATGTGTGTGTGTAAAGTCTGGTAGTGTGTGATCCTGCATAATGCCCAGTTTTTCTTCTTTAACCATTTACACTCTTGGCAAACCTTTTATGCCTATAGTGTTTAAAATCTGTTCAGATTTTGAAAGTAGTGCAGTGTTTTCCAGCTTTTATGTTTGTTTTTGCTATAACATAACCTCGTTAAAAAGTGCATTTCAAAACCCTTGCATTCTGTGCAGCTTCTTTTTACTGTTCCGTCCCTGTTATTAATGCAAGAACGCATTCTCTCTGAACTGCCCCTTAGCACTTGAATATCAATAACAATAAATTAAAAAATGTATCTATTTGTGTGAATCAGATTGACGGCTCCACCCTGCGTACTCTGTGCATGCAGCACGGCCCTCTCATTACCTTCCATCTGAACCTGACGCAGGGCAATGCTGTTGTACGTTACAGCTCCAAGGAGGAGGCTGCCAAAGCTCAAAAATCCCTGCACATGTAAGACTACAAGCTCTTCTACTTCAAACTTCTCTGAGGCCTTGTCCCAAATGGCACCCTAAACCCCCACGGTCTTCCTCTGAGTCCACACTTTTGTGACATGATGCCTCTTTGACTGTCGGGTAGAAGTCTGCTACAGAACCCTACGGCCTCACGGACTTTACAGTCATGTGCACACGACCGCCATTGTATGTCCACAAGACTGCAAGTGCACATGAAATGTGCCATTTGGGACAAAGCCTAAGAGGATCTTCGAGAATAGCTTTTATTTACGATTTATAGTGTTAGCTGTATGTTGTTTCTTCGTTTTTTTCTAAATTCAAGTCCTATAGATAAATGTGCAACTTTCTCTCTTCAAGCTGATTTTATGTGTTATCCATCAAGAAAACTTTTTAATAATTGAATCCCTTCCAACTGTTTGTCTGCCTCTCAAGGTGTGTGCTGGGTAACACTACCATCCTGGCAGAGTTTGCCGGTGAGGACGATGTGAACCGCTTCTTTGCACAGGGCCAGTCTCTTACCTCCACCACCAGCTGGCAGGCCAGCCCAGCACCAGGCTCCAATCAACCCCGGCTGGGCAACCCTGCTGCCAGCCACCCCACAGGCCTTTGGAGCGGGGGTGGAGGAGGTACCAAGACAGTCTGCAGTACCGGGAACAGCAGCAGTGGAAACAGAGGCGACCTGCTGTGGGGAGGTGTGCCACAGTACTCCAGATTGTGGGCTCCCCCAAATGGAGACGACACCAGGGTAATCGGCAGCCCCATCCCAATTAACACTCTGCTCCCAGGAGACCTGCTGAGCGGAGAGAGCATGTAGGATGTATCGGATATCATAAACCAACCAAGTCAAAAGACCTAATGAATCAAAACCCAAGCAAATCAATGTGGCGATAATCACTTTTTTTAGTGGAGCTGTAATGGAGGTTTAGGGTGAAACAAAGCTGCAAATCTCCCAGTGCTGTTTATTTGTCCTCTGGTTTTTACGTCAGACTCTTTGTTGTGTTCATGGATCTTGTTCTTAGTGTTCAAAGACCTTGAGAAGCAAGAATCAGTAGAAGCCTTTTAATGATTTTTTTTTATTTCCAAAAGTTGTTTTTTTTCTCAGAAGTGTTGTTCAGGAGAAGCCATCAACGAGGCAGCCATCTGAAAGTGACCCAGGCACAGTGAGACCTCATGACACCTTTCCCTATAACGACAATGTTCTGATGATTGGATTGATCCTGGTACTTTTTTTGGTTTTAAATTTTGCATAGTCTCTTCAGAACTTATATTAGCCGTAAGTGCTCTCTCTCCAGGTCCTCCTTAAAACGTTTATTTTATAAAACCAACAAAAAAAAACTAACAAAAAAAAAAAACTTTGTATCTTGCACAGTTCTGTTTCTGAGCCAGCGAATAGGCCAGAGCAAATGAGAAGAACACTCCTAGCAGTGGCCTGACAGCATGACTAATCACCAATGAATTTTTTTTTTTTAATTCTTTTAGTTTTACAAAAGGGAGCTGCACTGCTCTATGATTTCAATTTACTCACGCCAGTTTGTTTTTACAAAAATATGTGTATGGTTTAAAAAAAAAAAAATAAGCTGAATGTTAAGCTTGGGTTTAGATGAATGAATGTCAGTATGTCTGCTAGAACTTGACCAAGCATCTGTGTGCGAGTACATAACCACTGTTAAAAACTCTTAGTGGAGGCTTTTTAATTACACCTGATGGACTTCAGTGCTGAATCAATCAGAAGTTATTCAGTTACTATGTGATGCATCTGGTTGGCCATTTTTATTGAGATACAACCGAGACAAGAAACTCATTCTGATGCATTGTGCAATAGAAGCCAGAGACCCTTTCTTCCGTCCACACTGAAGCTTACTGAAACTTAAGACTCCTTTTTTTTTTTTCTTGAAGACTTTTGAAGAATTTAACCTTTGAACTCGTTTTCCCACCTTGCCTCTGTCTGTCTGGCTTGCTGGCTGTCCGGTATTTGCGTGGAAAGGAGGAACAGTTAATTGTGTTTGGCATCACTCCATGCAGTTTTAAACTCGGCATGTGTGGGATCAAACAGTCTCCCAACCACTTCTTCACCAAACAGAAACGGAATCCAGAGCGGAGACACATGGCGCGGGAGTCAGGCACAAATACCAAATACAATGGGTTTCTCTTAATGCAGTACAGAATAAGAGACCTTTGCATTTGGTACAAACATAAAAGACATCTAAGTTTTCTATGTCTCTTTTTAAAGGGGTATTATCATAGCACTTATTACAAGAGTTATGCTCCTTCTGTGAAGCCAATAAATCAGATAATGGAGCGTATAGTAAAAAAAAACAAAAAAAAAACAGCGACAACAAAAACTTCTTATGGCAACTTTTAACTTTTTTTCTTTGTTTTTGTACCTTACTGGTATTCAAAAAAAATGTACTCGTTTGTCGTGCAGAAAAAAAAATCAGAATGAAGGGAAAGAACAAACTCTACAATCATACAAAACTTGCAATGTATGTTTTTTTGTGTCTGTACCTTTTCCCCCTCTCTATCAAAGTGAATGTCATTGTTACTCAAATGAAATAGTCAAATGTCTTTATCTGTCTGGAGGAGGCACCTCGATTAGAAATAGTTGGATGTGTGTGTTAGTGCCTCAATGTGGAAACTGATAGGAGGACGTTTGATTCTCCATCGCAACTTTCTCCGTGCAAGAAAGGACAGTAATGACGTCATGATATGGACGTTGGCGTCATCATTTATCATTTGCGTCCATGTTGTAGTAACTTAGGTACGGATCTTCGAATGTCCCCCGTTCCTTCTCTGGATAACATCACACCTCTCATGCATCCTTACCTACTCATGGTCTTGCATGATCTTTTTCGCTGGAGTTTGAGACAGAATGGAATTGCCAGTGTTGTAAAACATGTTTTTTTTCACATTCTGTTGGTCTTCATGCAGTGGTCTTTAACTGCCTACAGTGCTCATATGCAGATACACTTTAAAAGAGGTGCCTCTGTATACCTGTCCTGTGTAACGAATGCAAATGAAGATCGATGGTGTGGGCCATATTTGTTTTGTTTTTGTTGCTGTTAACAGTGTTCTTAGGTCATTTAGATTAGGGCCTCTTGTGTTGATGCGCGTGCCTGTGACCTCACCCTGGGTGTCCCACCTCTAACTCAGCTGCTAACATCCTCTTTCTCTTGTGTGGCCTCAGTGAAGCCAACCCTGTTATCGAGACAAGCCTCACGCACTTGAAAAGCCCTGTTTGAGCAGTGTTTCTATGGACGGACTCTTTCTGCCACTGGCTCTTTAACTACAGCACACGGTTTGCTGTCACTATGCAAAGTTAGAGAAGATGGGCACGTAATGTCCGCCCTGTGCCAATCTGTGGCTTTGGAAGAAAGTTGGAAATATCTCACAGTCCTCCCGTAATACTTTCTTACATACTCAAGGCCATTGCCATCCTTGTAAACTTCGAGCCAATTTCATTTTTTGGAGGTCTGTGTGTTAATTCTGCTGAATTTGATAAATCTAATTTCAATACAATCTCAGGGCACGACAAGATGAACTAAATTTATGTTTATTGAAAGTTGATCGTTTTGAAGATTTATCATTTGTAAGTGGTTTTACACATTCAGTGATGTGTATGCAGCTTACAAAGTGTACATTAAAGAAACGCAAGAGGATATTTAACAGTGGGGCAATAAATTTAGGAGGGTGGTTAGTTTGGGTCTGCTGCAGAGCCATCAGTTCATTTATACAGTAAATGGGACCTGCGTATCTTACCTCTCTGCTGCTGGTTGTGTTGAATTCCCCTAATGGTCTCATGTGCCAATATATACATAGATATATGTACAGTACACTGTGGCATCTCTGACTTCACATCTTAAATTCCAATGTGTGTCGTTTTGTTGTAGAGCACTTCTGTTTGGAGGCACTTTGATGATTCTTGTGTGTTTGAGGTGGGGTTGGGTTCGAAAGGGTTGAGGATATTCGTCAGATATATTTGCCACCTCATGCTGATTATTTGTGATAATCTTGTTGCTGTCATTGGAAGAATCCTTTATAACAAGCAAGAACTTTAACAGCATTGGGGATTATGGTGTGCTAATGGCATACAGATAATGAGTAATCCCTGGTACTTTTTTTGAATACCAAAAATGGAATAGCATTTTAATATCTTTTTTATAAAAGTTTGACAAAAACACAATGAAGGAAAAAGATCTTTAACGTTTTAAAAATGCACTTCTTGCTGATATTATCTCCTGTTTGCTGGTCACGTTCTGAAGGTTGACAGCAAGCTGGAGTGCCTTTTGTGTATGCTGTATTAACTGTTTGTTTGTAAAAATGGGTCCCTGAACTGTACATTTCCATCTCAGTTTCAGTTCGTTTTGGGCCTTTATGCTGTATAAATCTTTTTTTTTGTTCTTTTGGGAAAAGACATTTCAGCAGATGTGTCTTAAGATATTAAAGTAATTTTTTTCTGTTTCTGGGTGGGGGGGGGATCACTGCTGCCTGTGTATGTGACTGCCTTGTTCCAAACTCAGTCGCAGCTGACTGACAGTGAACCACAATGTGGCTGAAATTCCAAACAGTCAAACATCACAGAAAGTCTCTGGTGACACCAGCATAGGTAGACTACAACTAAACATTATCCTGTATATAATCATGCTCATTATATAGAAAAAAATCTGCTATCAGATTTCTGAATCCTTCCCTTTTGAAACTACTGGGTGAAATATAATTTGAATTAAGCAATAGACCTTGATCCTTACAGTGTGTCATCTGAGAGAATTTTCCTAAAGGAAAAAAAAAAGAGGGATCATTGATAGATATGAACCAAACAGTCTTACTGGAGTAGCATGTTTAAAATTAAATGACACAGGACATACATGCAGTATTTGTGTATACCTTCAATCATTTTGTTGAAACCCTTAATTATGAACCGTGTTTTTGTCTCTAGGCAAAGAATGAAAAATCATAAACATATCAAAAGAAATATGTTCACCGATACTTGAATTAAAGTGTGCCAATTGTAAAATGTGAATTTATTTTTTCTTACATTTTTGTTTGGGTCTGACACTTTCAAGGTATTTGATAACATGCTCACAAGATTTAACATTCTTCACAAGAAAGAAAAAAAAAGCGATATAAAAAAAAAAAAGTTTGAGTGGTTTTGTATGTGCACTCTCTAATCACTGCTTCTCGTCACAGGGCGACTGTCTGCAATTATGATCCATTTACTTAGTATGTTGTACTGTCTGTTATTTGTGTGTGTGTGTGTGTGTTTTAAAAATTGTTCCAACATGGTTACTATCTAGCATTGCACTGAGTGTCTTTTTTTCCCTTGCTCAGCTATACTAAAAAAACTGAAAACTGCAGGGGAGATGACAATTCATGTGTTAATGTTTACTCAAGGACTTTATGGATTTATTTTCATCTTAAAATGTTTAAAACCTGTAAAAATGTATCCTCATAGTGGCTTTTATTGTGGATTAATTCCCACAAGAGTTATCATTTTGAAGAGTGTTGCATCCTTTCAGTTGCATTATTAAAAATAAAAATGTAAAAATACAAAAAAAGATTAGAAGATAAAAAGTGAACTTTGGCCATAGTGAGAAAGTTGGTAGAGAAGCAGTTACATTCATGGATGAACAGTAAAGAGAACCAGATGCTAGTTAGTGACATTCTGACTCATTTCAAAAGGTGCCTCACTTCCATTCTGTGAAATTCTTTTTCTTTTCAAATCTACCTAGCGTTTACAAATGGTTGAATTGTCTGAACTTGCAAAAAGAAAAGAAATTGATTACAAGAATGCAAGAAAAAAACTTCCATCAAATAAATGTTTTTTAAAAAAAAACCTTTTCAAATGAAGACGTATGCTACTTGCTGAACTCTGGGATTGTTTCAGTGTTGCATTGTATTTTGCTTATGAATTGCATTATTGTTCTTCTTGTTGGTTGAACTGATCCTGAAATGTCTTTAAGTTTTCATTTCTGTAAATGTAACATGATTCTGTCACTGTCTTGCACACTGACAATAGACTTGGATATTTTCTCAGGAAGATTAGGGGTCCAGAGTTCCAGTTCCACTGTTATGATGTTGATTATCATGAGAATTTAACAAATCGGTTAATGAAAGAAGAAAAAAGATGTTGATAGAAATCCAGCTGTAAGCACTGAAGGTTATGGATTTAAAAATGTCGTTTTGAATTTTAATCCGTAGCAGATACACATTTACCAAATATTAGATTTGTAGTGAACCTATGCGTTGTATTTCTTGGAGTACTTTCCATTTGAAATATGTTTGTTTGTATCTGTCGCTTTATGTACAAATACAGTTTTGTTTGTTGGTTAGGTTGTGGAAGGACCTACCACTGTTTGATTTTACCTTGCCTGATGTTTCTCAACGAGGTCCAGTAAAAGATGCTTGATATTCCATCCTCTTGCCTTTACTTGTTTTAAAAATTCAGTACAGGCCTGTATGCAAAGGCCTGAAAATTGTAGATTAACACAGAACTTGAACTCTTACCAGAATTTCTTACTAGTTTTTGAGTGCAGGATGAAAATACTCCAAGTTAATTCTCTATCTAGGTTTAACACTAGATGCAGAAATAAGATGTGAAAGGATTAAGAATCTATGCACAAGTTTGATGGGACAGTATGTCCGGACACGCTATTCTTACAAGGATACAAGGATCTTTTTGGTGGGGAGGGGGAGGGGGATTTCCAGTTTCTTTGTATGAGTTTTCATTTTAATCAGCAGAAAGTGTCATCACCTTGTTCTGTCTCTCAACCAAGGAGCATCATCAACCAAGCACTGTGGGTTTATGCAAATCTCTGACATTCTGGTGGTTAAATGGAATGATGGGTTGTGAAAGGGAATTTAACTGTTTCTCTTTATTGTTCAGATATTAAGAACATGACTGTACTGAGATTTAACAATGTTGCTGGCTTTTAAATGTTTTTTTCCCTTACCCTTAAACGGATAGCTGTCACAAAAATGAAAATCCTGTCATCATTTACTCACTCTCAGTAGTTTCTTTCTTCTGGTGAACACAGAAGAATTTTTGAAAAATGTTGGGAACCAGACAGTTGCTGGTAGCCATGACTTCCATAGTTCCTTTTTTTTCTCTCACTATACTATAGAGCAGGGGTGCCCAACGCTGCTCCTGGCGATCGACTGTCCTGCAAAGTTCAGCTCCAACCCTAATCAAACACACCTGAAGCAACTAATTAAGGTCTTCTGAAATATCCTTTTAATAAATTGTGATCATTGAGGACTTACACCAAAAAAGTCTTTCCATGTGGTATGGACATTATTTCAGCCTATATATAATAAACAGCGTTTTTCCTCTTGAACTGTGTTTTTGTTTTTTTATTTGTTGTGAGCTAATATTTTATTTACACCAAGTTTAGTCAACATTTGAGTAGATTTATTACTCTTTGTAAGTAGTTTATATGCTGGTTGACATGGCAGTCATCTTGAACTTGTAATGAAATGTGAGTTTGGCTATATATTGTACATGGCAATATAATATATTTTGATAGAGGGTAGCTGTACTTGCATGACCAAAAAATAGTTGGCGTTCTGACTTGACTTTTTAGCAGTCGATTAATTTGTGTGAGGAAAAGAGAAATGCAGTACGGCAAGCGGGGGGGGGGGTTTTTTTTTTTTTTTTTTTTTGGCAAAATCTGTTTTTTTGTTTTTTTTGTTTGTTTCGTGTTTTTTTTTTTTTGTGCTGATTTTGCTTTTATGTTTGTTTGTTTGTTTTTTGTATGTTTTTTTGAGTGCTTTATTTATTTATTTATTCATTTATGTATGTTTGTATGTATTTTTTAAATGCTTCAACACAGGTGCACCGCTCTAAACAAAATACAACAACATTTTTCCCCTTTGAAATAATCCCCTCTATTCTTGGCTTTGACACAATAGCCCACCATTCTCTTTCAGCAAGAATGCACAGGCATTGTTTTCAGCAATAATAGGTGAACTTATGAAGGAGAAAGATATAAGAATAACAGATACATAGCAGCTTGCTAAGAAAATGTGCCTGATTCTCTGGTGTCATAACGATGGCTGTCTTCATGGCCTTGGATCACTCTGTTAGCACTGGCAGCAAATGAGTACTTTCAGTTTCCATAGGGAATTATGTATTCATGCCCATGCTAAGAAGCTGAGAGGCTGTGCTTCCCAACAAGAATTAACATCATCTGTCACTAGATGTTCCTTACTGTTGAGTACAAGTAGCTTGCCAAGTTCTGGTCTAGCTATTTAAAAGTCTTATTTTTGAGGAAAATATTACTGCGCTAATCATGTAGCTGAATGGCACATGCAGAAAGTTAACATGCTTCCTTTGATCATTCTGGTTCAGTTTTGCATTGCCTTAGGCTTAGAACATTTACAAAATAGTAACATGTAAACTCTACCAGAACCTACTGCCAAGGAACAGAGATATAAGCTATATATAATTTAAAAAGTACTAATAACCTTTACGTTTTTTCTAAATAACAATTTAAAATATCTCCGTGTTAATTGCTATTTTAACAAATTCCTAAATGGAAGATTTGTCTTCTGGCTCTTGTGTTGCACTTATACAAATCATACACAAGAAGGCAGTATGGAGCTACATTCATTTTTGTGTCTTCACCACAGTCCTTAAGGACAGCATATTTACTTATACTCATCAGGCCTCTGTGCCCTGTTTGCATAGTATAGTATAAACATTTAGGCCTTTGTTGGTATACTTTGGACAAGAGATTTCGGTTATGACCATAAATCATATTTACATGAGTGTGAGTAATATACATATTTTAATAATATGATACATTATGGAGGTCTAATAATATAATCTTTTCAAAAAATAAATGTGAAAATCTCAAATTTCTCTCAGGTATCACTTTTTTGGAATATTTTTGGCAATGGTACAGAGAAACTCCCAAGACTATAACTGCTTGTGTAGGTGTTTTATGCTATAAATAACTAAGGTCTATAGGTTACCATGGAAATACATCCTCAGGACCAATGCCAGGAGTTACTGTGAGGGAAAACGGGCATGCTAAGTTTATCGACACCTCTCATTTAAAAAAAAAAAGTGTTGGATGAATAGGTGTTTTTCCCATATGCATTTTAAAAGTGGCTAATTATAGAAATTATATAATCCTTGATAGGCTTTTAGCTGACTGACACACAAGGCCACAGATGAATAATCCCACCCACTCTAAAGCAGTACTGAACTGCAGTGGAAACGTGTGCCGATCCGAGTCGTACCACGCAGTGGAAAAGTACCATAAGAGTACTGAGCAGCACTGGGACTTTTCACTGTTTGTATCACATTGCTAGTCTTTCTTTGTGGAGTTCCAGTCACACTGTCAGTGTGAGTATTAGTGGTGGGGATATTTTGCAGGTTATATTGTTATACCAGTAGATGGCAACAAGTGGCATTTTGTGTATTATGACTGGGCATTCACACAGGGTGTTGATATCAACACTTGATGGAGGGTGTGTCTGAAGCTTGGTGCTGATGTGACCATAATAGTGACAATAGCCAATCACATTACCTTTCCATTGTTGCATGAACACGATTGGCTAGCATCTGCGCTAGGGTACTTGCATAAAGACAATCTTATTGGCTGCCCCAAGCAATGCCAGTGATGTGAGGCAACGGACCCACAATTCAGTCCGGCAGTGCATGACATCACCTATTCAAAGTAAATGAGAAGCATTAACGTTGACGCCCCATGAGTGAGTCATTGAATAATTTGCTCAGCCAATTTGTTCAAAATCTCATTCAGAAAGAAAACACTGCTAATGTGTGTTTCTTGACACACAACTGTTGATACCGTTCTGGCTTTGGATAGAACTATTTTTGCTGTGGAAGAAAAATAGACTCAACTGTGTAAGGAAAACGTCTCAGGTTACTGATGTAACCATGGTTCCCTGAGAAGGGAACGAGACACTGCATCCTCTAGGGGTCACTATGGGTAGCGCCTTCGATGTGACTGATGTCTGAAGCATAAATCTAAACACGACAATGATATTGGCTGGTGACAGCCTATGACGTCACTACCGGCGCGACCACAGTATAAAAGGGTGCCAGTAGAACATGTCATCCGCTTCTTCATCTGAAGCTTACGTTCGAAGCATGGCGACGAAACTAAAGGACACAGTGTCTCGTTCGCTTCTCCCATGGTTACATACATAACCTGAGATGTTCCCTTCTGAGGGAACTTCGAACTGCGTCCTCTAGGGGTCGCTATGTGGAACGGTATACCCATGCTGCCATGCTGAGGGGAGTGCATGCCAATACCAAGGCGAGCACTAAGCACCAACTCAAGTCAAAGGAGCTGCCCTGACCACAGTATAAAAGGGTGCCAGTAGAACATGTCATCCGCTTCTTCATCTGAAGCTTACGTTCGAAGCATGGCGACGAAACTAAAGGACACAGTGTCTCGTTCCCTTCTCCCATGGTTACATACATAACCTGAGATGTTCCCTTCTGAGGGAACTTCGAACTGCGTCCTCTAGGGGTCGCTATGTGGAACGGTATACCCATGCTGCCATGCTGAGGGGAGTGCATGCCAATACCAAGGCGAGCACTAAGCACCAACTCAAGTCAAAGGAGCTGCCCCTAGGAAGTTTGACAGCTGTCAGTGACATAACCTGCTTGAGCTGTGCACCAAACTTACCTGTAAGGGCTGGCTTGTATAAAACCCGAGCCCAGGGCAAAGCTCAAGCTTGGAATCAAAAATAACCAAGGATTCCTTTAAGGGGATAAGGCAGAGTATCAGGGCTGCTTACAAACCCATATCCTGGCCTGTCAAACAGAGACTACCTCCTGCTCTAAGAACGAGCTACCGAGGATCTCAAGATACCCAGGGAAACTTAGTAGTAACACCCTGTCTAGAAAGTGAATATGCGGAGAGTGGGGCCCAAGGTAACCGGGGCCAGAGCCAACTTAGAGAAAGGAGACAAGGCAACAACGCGTCACCCTTACCATAAAGGCTTTTAAGAAGGTGCACAAAGGCTGGCGTGTGCACCTGCCATGAATATAGACTTAAAAAGTGCACATAGAACTAGCGTGAGCACTTACCATAGATACGGATTAGAAATACCGTAATGAACCAAGGAGCCCAAGGTGAAAACCGGGGCCTAACCAACTCATAGAATGGGAACGAGGCTACAGCACGTAACCCTTACCATACAGGATTTTAGAAAGTGCGCAAAATTCCTAGCGTGCACACTTACCACAATGTGGACTTTAGAAAGTGCACAGAAGCTGAGCGTGTGCACTTACCATAGAATGGATTTAGAAACACCGTTACTAAAGGGTAACCAAGAACCTGTCCCCTAGACAGGCCTAGACCCTACGTGACTGTGGCCCGCTCAAGGAGTGACAATAATTCAGCGGGAGGCCGCATGCTCAGAGTGCATGTAGAGC